TAGTAATAACAAACGATGAAATAAAATTAAATACAATTGAAGATTAAAATTTTTCTTCTAAATAACGCTTCTGTCAGGACCAGTACTTGACGTAATGGCTATGTCGCTGGACTCCCATGTAGTTGACGTAGGTTTGAGTTCCAGACTTGGTGGCTTAATCTCATGCCAGATGTGTGTTTGTGCATGCCCAAGATCCCAATAGGAGAATGGAGGAGAAGGGATTGTGGCGTGGTCATCCCCTTTGGGGGTGGCGATTTCTCGCTTTCTCGCTTTCTGTCTCTCTGACTCTGTTTTTCTAGCAAGCGCATGTGCCTTATAGCAAAAACCTCTCCAAAAATAAATAAATAAATAAATAACTCTATTGTCAATTATAAATAAAAATATAGGGTTAGATATGTTTGGAAGATACTGTTCTTTTTTACTGAAGCTGCTTTCATTGAGCTCTACACATTCCGTTAGGTGGCATCTTCTTTCTCTTGAAACGTAGAATGTGGCCTTGTAACTGAGTTCTAAGCATTGACACTTGGATCTAAATGATTAGGCCACTTCTAGAGTGGGCTCATACCAAGCTCTTAAGTGCATTGTTCTCCCTCTTTTGGCTGAAACACATGGGGAGTAGAGCCACAGGAAAGACGAATCCTGGATAATTGAAAATAGTTCAATGATTTTCAACAAAACCTGATCTAGCCCTTGATACATTCATTCTTTTTACTTAAAAATTATTTCAGTGATAGGACTAGCTGGTGTCATGATGGTTAAGGTGGCTGGATCCCACATGGCTGACTGCAGTTTGAGTTCAAGACCCCATAGCTTTGAAGACATGCTGGGCTCATGTGTATGCATGCCCAAACTCCCAAGAGGAGAATGTAGAAGAACTGCAGCATGTCCATCTTCCTTAAAGGGTGATTTCTCACTTTTAATCTACCGCTTTCTCTCTGTGTGTCTTTCTCCAGGGAGCACACATGCCCTGTAGCAAATTAAAAAAAAAAAGAAGTCAATAGAAAATTTAAAAATGTATATTGAGGTATACATTGTGATCATTTCATGTACATAAGTATTATATACCACAGTCAAGGTAATTATCCAATCCATCATCATCCATAGTTACCATTTCTCTATGTGTGTGTGTGTGAGAGAGAGACAGAGAGAGAGAGAGAGAGCACTGAGCACACTTAAAATATGCTCATTTTTTAAATGCTAAATAAACAATACAGCTTTATTAACTATAGTGGTCATGATATACATTAAATCCCCCAAAGTTACTCAACTTATAATTGTAGATTTGCATCCTTTGGCCAGTATCATATAGTATTGGTCTTTCTGAGTCTGGTTTATTTCACTTAACATAATGCTCTCTGGGTCTCCAGCGTTTCCTTCTTTTTATATGGGTAAGTAATAATCCATTGTTTATATAGACCACATTTTCATTACTGTTCAGCCTTTGATGGACACAGCTTGTTTCTAAGGCTAGTGATTCTTTTACTTATCCTTTCCCAAAATATATCAGTTTCATTTATACTGTGTGAACATAAAGATAGGTTGACTTCCAGCCCTGAAATAGTCTTTTTGATGATGCCTATAATGTTTTTTGTTTGTTTGTTTTTGAGAGGATTTTGCTATAGGGTGTGTGTGCTCGCCAGAAAGACAGAGATTGAGAGAAAAAAAGCGAGAAATCACCCCCCAGGGGGATGGCCACACCACAATCCCTTCTCTTCCATTCTCCTTTCGGGATTTTGGGCACGCATGCACACATGCCTGGTGTGAGTTTAAGCCACCAGGTCCAGGACTCGAACCGCGGTCTACCACATGGGAGTTCAGTGACATAACCTTTACACTAACTGCTGGTCCCGATGCCTATAATGTTAATGGGACACCTCGGCAGTCATGGTGTTCACATCCCCACCAAGACACACAGACATTGGACAAATAATAGCACTGTTTATATCTACAGAGCCATCTGGAGCAAATTTGCTATGTCAAGTCTCTCTTTGCTTCATTTAAATAGGCAGTCCATTATTTTGTTGTTCTGTTTTGCTCAGTGAAAACCTAGGGCTCGTGTGTGGCCATACGATTTTTTTTTTCTGCTTTTAAGTCTTCCTTTTTATCGTGGTCGTCTCTTGATGATTGTGGTTAATGGCACACTCAGGGCACATTCTCTGCTCTGTATTATTTATTCCTTGTCCTTCAGAATCCTTCCCAGTGAATAATTTGTTTCATTCACATGCACACATTTAATCTTCTTTCCACCAGTGAAATTTATTTTATTTTCAATACAATCATAGTCATAGTGTTCTTAATAGTGCTTTCATCCTTGTCACTACATCTGCATTTCAGAAATGATGAAGTAAATAATTTTTGTAAAATCTCTTCGAAGTAAGCAAAACATAGCAAGCACTCCAAAGCATAGCGAACTAGATGGCAGAGACAACAATGACAATAAAACATCACCGATATTTGTCAGTAGGGGATAGAGTTGACAATATTTGGTTCTGGAATTTCACTTGCTTTGAATGTATTAATACAAGAGTCAGTGAAATAAATGTTTAGAAACCATGAAATATCTTCCCTGTTATTCTTGTTTCTATCTACATCCTGGGATTCTTTCCCCCTTCCTCTTTCCATTCATCCATTCATCCAACCATTTGCCTATCTCCCTGTCTAACCAGCATGCTTTAATTCATCAGGTTTTGATACAAAATTGAGTTCTATTTTAGTTCACTGTCAAACTATACCAATTCTGACCTTGCATCATATATAATATCTTGAAGTGCACATTTTATCTCTGTCCAAACAAAGCACAAAACAGTCTTGAAACGTGATAGAAGCTTACTTTTTATCCAAATTAGATTCAGAGCATAAACTAGTCTAAGGAAGTCACATTGATTCCCCAGTATCTAACTGTTTTCTCAGATTTAAAGGACCATTTGAGGGTGACATACAACAAGAGGCTAGTTGAAAGACAGACTTTTCCTTTCCTTCTTTTTCTTTTTCTTTTCTTTTTCCCTTCTCTTCTCTTTTCCTCTCCTCTTCTCTTCTTTCCTCTCCTCTCTCCTCTCCTCTCCTCTCTTCTCCTCTCCTCTTCCTTCTCCTCCCTCCCCTCCCCTCCCCTTCTATTCTCCTCTCTCCTCCTCTCTCCTTTTCATTCTTTCTTTTTAATTTGCCAAAGAGCACACATGCTCACAAAACAGACACAGAAAAAGAGAGAGGGAAATTGAGAGAGCACTCCCATGGGGCAGGGTCATGCTGCAATCCCTTTTCCTCCATCTCTCCCTACTCTTTTTTTTTTTTTTTTGAGAGGTTTTTGCTATAGAGCATGTGCACTCGCCAGACAGACAGAGAGATAGAAAGCGAGAAATCACCTCCCAGGGGGGATGGCCACGCCACAATCCCTTCTCCTCCATTCTCCTCTCGGGATCTTGGGCACGCATGCACACACACCCAGAGTGAGTTTAAGCCACTGGGTCCGGGACTCGAACCGTGGTCAACTATGTGGGAGTCCAGTGACATAACCATTACGCTAACTGCTGGTCCCCATCTCTCCCTACTCTTGGGAACCCAGGTATACATGAACACACATAACCCCCTAAAGTGTCTTCCTAGCTGTCAGGTCCAGGACTGGAACCATGAAGTGCCATTGAAACACTTGAAACAGTACTCCACAATCTGGCTGAAGAAGACTTCTTTCTTATTTACAGTTTCAGAGGCAATGGGGCTGCCATGGAGGGCCACATAGTGTTACACCTGGGAGAGAATAGGAGTTGGGGTAGGTTATGTACGGCGAGTGGAGTAGAGTTGGCCACGTATTGACATCTCCCTTTAGATTGCAAATCATAATCATTTTTATGGGCTCCGGTAGCACATTAGGACTTCACAAATGAGTTAGGAAAAAATTCTGATGCCAGAGATTAAACAATATTTGTCCCCTAAATGTTCCCAGTCATCTGGTACCTGGCTCTGGGTTGAGGAGAACGCTCATACAGTGGTTCAGAGACTGAGAGCCCAACAAGGATATAGACTTCATTGGCTGCTCACAAAGGAGAGTCAAACACTGGTTGGGTCAAAACAATATAATAAAAATATAAATTAAAACAAAAACAGTATTGAATAAGGATACAATGCTCCTTGTGTATTCTTTTCCTAAAACATTGTTCTTGTATGCACTGCCCAAGGTGATTTACCAGTGTTATGTGCTTTCCAATAAGCAGGAAATGAGAAAAGCAAAGGAAGGGTGAGCCCTCTTCAACATATATGGACTAGAAGTTTTACACATTTCCTTTGATAGCTCTTGTCACCTGTCTAAAACTGAACTATAAGGAGTGATAGGAACTAATCTCATTATTACAATTTATATGTAAGAGTTTAAATAAAAATGTCATCACTATCAAAAAGCCAAAATTGGGAACCAGCAGTTAGCGTAATGGCTATGTCGCTGGACTCCCACATAGTCAACCGCGGTTCACGTCCCAGACCCGGTGGCTTAGAACTCACACCGGGCGCGTGTGCATGCGTGCCCAAGATCCCGAGAGGAGAATGGAGGAGAAGGAATTGCAGCATGACCATCCCCCCTGGGGGGGGTGATTTCTCGCTTTCTGTCTCTATGTCTCTCTCTATCTGTCTGGTGAGCGCACGTGCCCTTTAGTAAAAATCTCTCCAAAAAAAAAAAAAGTGAAACTATCAGGGTCTATAATGGTGATGAAGAGATGTAGATTAAATAAATCTATTTTTTAAAATAAAGTTGTTGAGCACAAATTTTTGTCCTTGCTGCTATTTTTGTTTCTTTGTTTTTCTGCTAGAGGGTATGTACACTCATTAGAGAAATGAAGAGAGAAAGAGGTAGAAAGAGAAAGTACCACACAATGGGGCGTGGTCATGCAGCAATCCATTCTCCTGTATTTCTCCATGTCAGGATTGGGGGAATGCACACACACACGCACACACGCACACACAACATATCCTTCAGGCTGCTGGTGCTGAGGATTCCATCTTGGTAGGTCATGCAGGGAAAAAGTGTACATGTCATGAATTTTTGTCATCCTTGCACAGGCTCCATATTAATCTCTCTATCGTTCCACCTTTGGTCTATGTGCTGCTGAAGTAAGCACAAGCACTCGATCTCCTGTTTAGATAATCAAGTATCATCTATATGCTGAGTGGAGCAACATGATATATGGGAGGGTCATATTGAGATGGGAAACCTTCGGTAAAACAGGTCTACAAATGAGATCAGAGCAATGACGGTAGATAGAGGACGCACATTAGGGCCTGACAAAGCAGGTTGAGAAACCCTGCAAGGCAATTAGCTGAATCAGGAAATTCTGATATCAAAAAAGGCAAGATTGGGGAACCAGCAGTTAGCGTAATGGCTATGTCGCTGGACTCCCATGTAGTTGACTGAGGTTCCAGTCCTGGACCCGGTGGCTTAAAACTCATGCCAGGCGCATGTGCGTCCGTGCCAAAGATCCCAAGAGGAGAATGGAGGAGAAGGGATTGCGGCGTGACCATCCCCCCCGGGGCGTGATTTCTCGCTTTCTGTCTCTATGTCTCTCTCTGTCTGGAGAGCGCACGTGCCCTATAGCGAAAAAAAAACTCTCAAAAAAATAAAAAAGGCAAGATTGTTTCTTTTTCAAATATGAAATTTCAATCAAAGATAATGGCAACTGAAGAAGCATATTTGAATAAATGAAAGATAGTGGTAAGTGTTCAAATTATGAAAAATGAGACCAAAATCCCTATATTCCTTTTCTTTCTTTCTTTCTTTCTTTTTTTTTTCTTATTTTGAGAGATTTTTGCATGAGGGTTCATGTACTTGCCAGAGAGACAAAATAGACAGAGACACAGTGAACGAGAAATCAGCTCCCAGAGGAGATGGTTATGCCACAATTCCTACTCCTCTCTTCTCTTCTCAGGATGTTGGGCAAAAATACACACACATCTGGCATGAGTTTCAAGCTATTGGGTTCGAGACTTGAACTATAGTCATCTACAAGGGAGTCCAGCATCTTAACCACTACACCACCTGCAGGTCCCAACCACAAACTTTTGCAAAACTTAGAAGTTAATAATGATTTTGTGACAAAGTATGATGGCTACAGTACAGATGACAACTAAGTAAGTAATCACATCCATTGCTGAACAGGAAATGGTTCGAAGCACCAGACAGTCTATTCAGAACAGGCCCTCAATTCTTTCATTTTAAGTGTTAATAACAACATGTTCAGAACAACCTGTAGATTCCTTCTTATTATTTTTACATTATGCAAGTAGTTTCCAAAAAATGATTTCTAAAAAAGTGTAGCAATGTTCTTTACAAACATACATTCTTTGATGGAACCCAAGTAATCCAAGGATACCATGTACAGAGGTAAGACACGGGGAGATACTAATTAAAAGAACCGACATTTCAGTTAGAGGGAAAGAATGAGTTCAAGAGATCTATTGTCTATCACAGTGACTAGTTAAGAACCATGTGTTACGCATTTGAAAAATATTCAGTAGAAATGGATTTTGTGCTCTTATCACAGAAATAGTATGTGAACTAATGTACATGTTATATAGCTGGATTTTACCAATATATTTATTTATTATTATTTTTTTTTAATGGAAGGGTCCTGTGACCAGCAGGTGACGTGGTGGTTCAGGTGCTGGACTCCCACATGGCCCACTGCGGTTTGAGTCTCAGACAAGGTGGCTTAAAAATCACACCAGGCATGTGTGTATGCACGCCCAAAATCCCAGGAAGAGAATGGAGGAGAAGGGATTGAAGCATGACCATCTCCCCTCAGGTGACTTCTGACCTTCTGACTTTTCCTCTCATTGTGTCTGTTTTTTTGTTTGTTTGGCAAAAATTTTTTCAGTACACACACCCTATGGCAAAAATCTCAAAAACATAAAAAAGAAAGGCAAAAGGTGTCATGAAGATTGGACTGCTGGATCTCACGTTGTGGAACTGCACAGCTCGAGTACCCAATCCAACAGTTTGAGTTTCACACCAGGTGCATGTATGAGTGCTCAGAATCTGGAGAGGAGACTGGTGGAGAGGGGACTGTGGCACGGTCATCCCGCCAGAGGGAAATTTCTCACTTTCTCTCTCTTTCTCCCTCTGTCTTTGAGGAGTGCATCAAAGGAAAAATTAAAAAAAAAAAGAAAACAACTTAAAAAGAAAAAACAAAGAGGAAGATTAGGTGAGCCGTGAACTTACTTGGGAAGAAATTATAACTTTATTTTACATAACCTCTGATGATATTTTAGTATTTCTTTACTTGTGAATATGGGAACTAGAAATTTCAATAAAAGCAAAATTTTTGTTTTGTAAGCAATGGAAACGATAGGTATATTCCTATCAGATTTTTAAAAAGAATTATTTTATTTAGCTTTTATTTATTCATTCATTTATTTCATTTTAATTTGATTAGAGAGGGGCAGAGAAAGAGAGAGAAAGTAAGAAAGCAAACCGCCAGGTTTGGGACTCAACCTGTGGTCAGCTATGTAGGAGTCCAGTGCCCTTAACCACCATGCCACCTGCTGGCCCCCTATCAGATAATATATGCAAGAGAGCTTCAAGAAGCTTGTAGGCAAATAGAATTAAAGTATGAGTGTATTTTGATGCCAAAAAAATAAAAATTATATATTGTTTGTTCATAATATGTATTTATAAGAATGTTATAAAGACCCTCATGTATCATAGAGCATATATGTTCATCTCTATTTTGAAATTATACTATTATTCTAATTATAAGAATGAGTCCTGCTGATAATTCTCATTATTAATGTGATTTTAAGAAAGCACTATCACATCTTTTAAACATTCTGACACTTATATTTCAATATATTTTAATGATTTCCTTTGTAATACTCCACATATTTTATTCTTGTAGTTAAAAATAAACATATGTACTCTCAAAAGGGTTTCCCCCACCTTGGACAGTTCCCAAGGTATTCATGACCCATAGATTGATTTGGGACTCTTCATTTAAAAGAATCTGATAAAAATAGCTCAATGAGTCAGGAACAAAGCATGTGTTTCTATTGTTAAAAAGAAGTGCTTTTTAAAAATTTTTTGGTATGAACAGATGGTAGTGGTTACATTGCTGAACTTGCACATGGCAGACTGGGGCTTGAGTCTCAGCCTGGTGACTTGAAACTCAAGCCAGGTACATATGTGTGCATGGTCAAAATTCTGAGAAGAGAATGAAAGAGAAGAGATTGCTGCATGGCCATCTTCCCAGGGTTGGGGGGTGATTTCTCGCTTTCGGTCTCTCTCTATCTCTCCAGTGAATGCACATGCCCTATAGCAAGAAAACCCCTCTTGAAAATAATAAATAAACTTTTTTAATTATAATAAATCTATTTTTATAAAGCATGTAGTTGTATTTAATGAGATCTAACATGACTGTTTTGTAGAAAATATCTCTTATAAATGTTAATGTGTCTAGTCATGGTAAGTTCCCTATTTCTCTTACAGGACACATGGGTTATAATCTCCAGTTGACCGGATTATGCTAGGCAGTCTCATTTTCTTCAGTAATATTAGCTTCTACAAGATGATTCCTATTTCCCATGCTATTTCTTTCCTACGAGTATAGATAGCTTGGACACTAATATTCAGCCCTTATGTTTCTAAGAGGATAACTGTAGTTTCTATACTGCAAAATGTTATGAAGTGAGTTGCAAGCTGTAAAAAATATAAAGCACCATGTAAACTTTCAAAAATATTTTACTTCATCTGAATGCAAGTGTTCAAACATTCCCAGATGAAATGTATATGAAAGTGTGTCTTCCTCTTCCATTTAAAGACTGATTAGAATAAAAGTAATACATATTCAGAATTACATTTGAAGATAGAAGACATTCTTAGAATTCTCATTTTTAAATATATTCTTTCATTTAAACCAGTGGTTCTCAAAGAGGTGACTTTACCTCTATTCAGGTGTTCTGCAATATCTGGAGATATTTTTAGTTGTCTAAACTGCAGTTGGTGCTATTGGCATCTAGGGCAGAATTTCGCAAGGATGCCAAGCACTTTACAGTGCACAGGGCATCATTCTAAACAATAAATGAACTGACCAAAAAAGTCAACAGAGCTAAGGTTGAGAAACCGGTTCAGATGTTTGAATCAGTCTTAAGAAAATTAGTCAGGACCAGCAGTTGCGTAATGGCTATGTCACTGGACTCCCATGTAGTTGACTGAGGTTCCAGTCCTGGACCCGGTGGCTTAAACTCTTGCTGGGCACATGTGTGTGTGTGCCCAAGATCCCGAGAGGAGAATGGAGGAGAAGGGATTGTGGTGTGGCCATTCCCCCTGGGGGGGTGATTTCTCGCTTTCTGTCTCTGTCTTTCTGGTGAGCACACGCAACCTATAGCAAAAAAGAAAAAAAAAAGTTAGTCAAAGAGAACAACTCCTATGAATTCACACAACCTCTAATCTGGAATTTCTATGCACCTGTCAACATCTATGAGATATTTACCTTTCTAAAGCCAAATATAAAAAGAAAAATAATAATTTACTGTTTAATTTCCAAGTACTTGGGAATTTTCACAGCCAGGTCTGTTATTAGTTTCCAATTTAATCCCAGTATGGTCTGATGTACGTTGTAAAATACTTATTCTTGGAATCATGGGATGTGATGTTTTCATATAGGATTCTTTCACTCAGCAATAGGTATTTAAGTTTTCTTCATGTTTTATTATGGCTCGATAGCTCATTTTGTTTTTGTTAATAAATAATATTCCATTTTTCTGGGTTTATCACAGTTTCCCATCAATTCATCTACTGGAGAATATCTTGGTTGCTTCCAAGCTGTGATAATTATGAATAAATTATTAACAATAAATTATTAACAACTATGTACCAGTTTTTGTGGGAATTCTGTTTTCATTCCTTTGGATAAATGCTAAAGAGCATAATTCTTTTATTTTTTCTTCTACTTTGTAGTATTTAAAATTATTCCCTTTTGATTTATTTTACTTTGGTGTGCCATTTCTAAAGAGCCTCTTTTTTTCATCTCATTTTTCTTTCTTTCTTATTTCCTTTTTTTCTTGGTTTTTCTTTTTCTCTTCTGTTTTCTTTTTTCCCCTTTCTTTTCTTTCTCTTCCTCTTTCTTTT